GCTAATCTTTGTTAAGCGTCTTAACAATTAGTTAATCAAGCAATAGCGTTATTCTAATCAAATAATGATTAAATCCAATGATACATGTTTATTTACTTCTCCTTTATCAATGTTCACATCAATCATATATGTCTACTTGCTTTATCCCAATGCTGGCCAAAGTCACCAAGTGCATGCTTGCTTTGTTATTATGCCTATCTCTTCCTTTTCTAGGCTGTTATGTTTACAGAGGCTTTGATGTGGTGGCCCTAGCCAGCTCTAGCAAAAGCTTAACCCTGTCATTTCCTCATCTTAAATCCCCCCATGCTTAGCCTCAACTTATGGTGTTCATTTAAAGTACCAAGGCCCTATTTGATTCTCTTTATAATTTTAGCCTCAATGCTTCTATAGTGGTTTGCATGTGTTCTCTCTCATTGGATGTTTGAGGGCCCTAATCAAAATCTGTTTTTTTTTTTTTTTTTTGGGGTGTATAAAAACTTATGACATCAATTTGGTCCCTTTGTTGGCACCTACATTTTATATATATAAAAAAATATAAATATCTCATCTTTCCAACTGTAATATCTCATCTGTCCAAAAAAATTTTGTTGGAAGCTTTTGGGACGGTGCATGGAGAGGACAGGAAACAAGATGTACCTAATTTAATTACTAGGCATTGCCCTTTAATTATTTAATTCCCAGAAATGCTTGAGAACTCACATCATAACATGGCTTTATATGATGGTGATTTATGCATGTTTATTTAAGTAGACTTGCAAACTTCAGATTTCTATACATATTTGAGTTTAAGTAGTCCAATCTCATTGTCTTAACTTGAACTCATCTCCAAAGTACCTTTAGGAACCAGTTGCATGGATTCACATTTCAGTCCAAGTCCTTCTGAGGCACATCCTGAGACAATGGATTTTCTTTCCCTTGCATGGTGCAACTTTGCGGTTCAAGCTTTCCAACCACAGCAACAAGACCAATCTGTGGTTCTACTAGACGATCCGATTGTGAAGTTTGAGAGTCACAAGGAGGCTCCTTACCTGGTAGGTCGAATTAATTTCTTCTAGGATTAAATCAATCCCATTATTTATCAGACCCTATGAAATTTCATAAGCTTTCCAACTTTGCACAGATGGATGATGCAGATCTCAAGCCTCCACCACCTTGGAAATCCAATGATGTGAAGGTGAACATATATATATACTAAAATTCTCCTATGTGGACGTCTGAATGTTATTATCGTTCGGACGTCATGTATTTTCTACTATCTCTCCCTGCTTTTCTCCTTGTTTATAAGGGCATCCGCACAGTAATAACATGCAGACATCCGGATGAGAGAATAACTGATATATATATTATATATAAGAACATCTAATTCAATATCTTAAAACCAATTTCATTGATAACATCCTGTAATTTTTCTGTTTTTTATTTTTTTCCTTCAGTCATTTATATGGATGCAACAAGCCATGCATCCAGAGTTGAACTACAACAGCTTTTTCCGGAAGAAATGGGTAAGTCAAATTGGCTCATACTTTTTACCACACTTCATTTTCCATAGTTCTCAAGAACAAGAATTTATATTACTCTATGCAGATGTCGTGGAAAATAGTCCCATTTAAGAATATGTCAATCAAGAAATGGCTAAAAGATATTAAGGAAAGGCGAAAAGAGGAACAGAGGTTGCAAAGAGCTGAAGTCCATGCAGCAATATCTATGGCAGGTGTTGCAGCTGCTCTTGCAGCCATTGCAGCTGAAGGCTCAGAAAACAATGGCTCAAGCACTGCCAAGGAAGCCGCAGTGGCTTCTGCAGCCGCGCTAGTGGCGGCGCAGTGTGCGAAAGTTGCAGAAGCAATGGGGGCAAAGAAGGAGCAGCTCAGCAGTGTGATAGGTTCAGCCATGACTAGTACAAGTGCAAGTGACATCTTAACTCTAACAGCTGCAGCTACAACATGTAAATATCCTATATTAGTATCCTTCTTCTCTACAATTGTTTCATGCAAAAATGAGCTACACTTGGGGTTGTCTCTGAAAAGAGCAGGGTCATTTATTGTGCACCGGACTGTAGAATATTGTTAGTCACTCATGCGCACGGACTGTAGAATATTATTAGGGATGTTGAAGGACTTTACCTCTTACTTTCTTTCTTCGATTTTTGGTTTTGTGTAAAACATGTAGCATTGAAGGGAGCAGCTACATTAAAAGAAAGATCAGGATGCAAGAACAGACTAAATGGGGCTGCACCAGTGATGCGCATCGAGGACAACCCGGAGGTTGACTTCGACTTTGAGAAGTACAGATCAATGCTTGCAATAGGTGCCCAGCTCAGCATTGAAACACCAGATGGTTTGAACTCCAATCTTAGATCTTCATTTATTATTTTGTGTTGTGTAAATTTATTTCCTGGCTTATGGTTTCTAAGTCCTAAATCTATACTCTGTTTTACTATCCATCTGTATGCTAATGAGTTTCAAAATTATGTGTTTGCAGGGAAGTACATGGTTAGATCAGTGTCTGTCATCCTGAACAGTGAAGCCAAGGTCTGCATTACATGCTAAACTTGTCGACTGCTATTTTGTTATAAAGCCTGTATAGTAAAAGAGTATAACTTGTGGGGTTAGGAAAGCCTTAGCTTAACCTTCAATTCATAATTCAACATTATAGGTTGTTCTTAAAATGAGGAAGCTCAGTCTGTTGAAAAGCAAAAAGGAAAGTAAGTCCCTCCTCTTTCTCTCTCTCTCTCTCTCTTTCTCTTTCATTTAGATTTATTAATACCTGCACAAAGTCTAGCACATACAAATGCTACAAAGCTAAACTTTTCCCCAATATTTTTTCTTAACTTTGTCACATGGGTCCTACATGGGTCTCAGTGTAATGAATCTCATCTCATGTGAGAGAGATTGAAGGAAAAATGTTGGAGAAAAATTGAATCCTAAATTATTTTTCCACAGTAACTAGTAAATGTTTTCATTAGGATTATAGTCAAGGTCTCGTTTGGTGGCTCATCTTTAGACTGAAACGGAATTGAGTCTCACAACTCTAGATGGGGGACTCATCAAACACAAAGTATTGGACGGACCCCTCAAACACAAAATGTTGGACAGACCGTTGTCCAATTTATTAAGTCAAATCTCAAAAATTATAAGTTCACCAAACAGCGGTCATGACACTTGTCCAATTTAAATGACAGTTCAATTCAGTCTAAGCCACCAAACGAGGTGAAAAGGGACAACTAATCAATGTGTGTTGTTTTAGGTATCATACTGGACATGTATGCGGAGCTGTATAAAGATTCAGAGGCAGCAGATGAGAATGGCACGGGTTATCTTATCGTGTTAACCACGAGTAGGGGTACATTCAAGCTAGACATGGAAGACGACTATCAACGTTACAAGACATGGGCCACAACCATTAACCATATGCTCATGGTTTCTACTTCATTTACGAAATATCATCTTCAATTCTACAAAAAGTAGTCTTACCAGCTATTGCTACAATCAATGTGTTGCATTGCACCCATGTGCATATTTGTCCTCTACTTGTGTAATTATAAATCAATTCACAATTCCTGCTTCATCATTTCTGCTAAACAACAAGCTGATATATCCACAAAGAATAGCTACATCGTCCCAAAAACAAACAGATAAAAAGATGGGTTGGAACTTGGAATTATGTTATTCTTACTCTTTTTCTAAAGAACAAAATTATTTCTAGAGAAAGAACATTCTAAGGAGAACAGTGTAAAATGAAAAAGGTGTTTAAATCAATTCACAATTCCTGCTTCATCATTTCTGCTAAACAACAAGCTGATATATCCACAAAGAATAGCTACATCGTCCCAAAAACAAACAGATAAAAAGATGGGTTGGAACTTGGAATTATGTTATTCTTACTCTTGTTCTAAAGAACAAAATTATTTCAAGAGAAAGAACATTCTAAGGAGAACAGTGTAAAATGAAAAAAGTGTCGTAAAGGTGAGCATACTGCCATACAAGTAGTTTTTGGGTCTAAAATGAAAGATTTGGTCACAATTTTAACTATTTGCACTGCATTTTTTGAACGTATCTCCAGCAGCCCAATCTTTATTAGAGATGTGATCTACAATGTGGTCCTAACATTACTCGCATGACTAGGCAAGTTCAAAGAACATGCAATTTACATATTTTACAAGTAGGAATGATGAGTGAAGAGCCAAGTCATACTAAGCCCTGTTTATGACTCAATGACTTTATCAGTATAAAAGGTTCACAACACTGAAGATTGAAAATCTAGCTGTTGAGTGAGCCATCTTTGATAACCTGTAACCTTCTTTTGTGTGTGACAAGCAGTGCCCACTCACGATTACTAAATTTTAAGGGCATCATTTTGAGTTGTGATGATCAAGAAGACTTTATGGATGAGTTCCTGTCACTTGGGAAATGTTGCAGCTTTTTAAGCTCAACATGCTGGAGTTCTGAATATCCAGTGTCTTTTATCTTTTACTATTCTGTCATTATATCATAATTGCTATCCTCAATTTTTTTTCAGATGAAAAACATATAGTTCTTAGTCTGTAAAGGCTGCACTTTCAACTTTATAGAATTCCTAAGCAAATGATTATTCAAAAATGGAAGTGAAAAGGAAGGAGTACCGACAAAAACACCTATGCAAAAATCTTTAGGGAAAAAAGAAAAGTGCTCAACTTGTAATTTTGATCTTAGCAATGTCTTTTGTTTCTTACACTACTTCGGCTAACTCACGGGTACACATTCTAGGGACACTGTATTTCAACATTTTAGGCCCTTCTCCACTGTTATGGAAAATGAATTGGCCAGTAGCAACTAAATGTATCAAACCGTTACCTATACCAAGGAGAAAATTTCATACCCAACTCTTTTACTTTTTCCTTCTGTTAAAATTTGATTCAAGTGTTAGCATATATGATTACAATCATCTACACTCTACCTATTTGGGCCAAAACAAAGGGAATGAAGTGTGATTCAAAGAATATGTAAAGATAGAAAGCAATATAGTTATGTCAGTCAAAATTGATATCGGTTTTCATTGGCACAGCCTGTGTCCATGTTGCCTCTTTGTCTAGCACGATGGATATCACAATATGACACATCTAGGCTGTATCTAAGTTGACATACCAAGTTTAACGCAATACACACACAAAAAGGCAAGAAAAGAATATAAAATAAAATAATTAATAAATTCTGGGGTTAATGAATGGAAAAAATTGTTACATACTAATTGATGATCTGAAGTTGGAATCTGCTGATATATGCGCACATCCACAATAACCCCAAGCTCTGGCGATTCACTCCATTCGTCAAGACCTAAAGTCAATAAATTCCTTCCAGTTTCATCGCACTGGAGTAATGGTTGTTACATAAACAATAATCAGTCGCCGGTGGAACCATACACAACAACTGACGCTTGAAGATCACGGTCCACTTTGAAGTGAGCATGGAAAAACCTGTTTATCTGTCATCATAGGCCAGATAGATAAGTTTCAGTAATAGCTCAGGAAGAAATTTAAGATCCAACTTCTGTTTCTTTGGCTGAGATGCCAAACTTAACAGTAATATGAGCCATAGCATGTACCTCTTTGAAAGAATGTGAGATTAGAAAATCCTTCAACAGTTTTTCTTCCGAATCAAATAATACAATGTGACTGGGTAAAGACCAATTTTTTGCAAACTCTGATGCAAAACCAACAGGATCCATCATGAAATGGTCCGATTCATCTGGGATTCCTTTCTCTTCTCTGTTGAAAAAATTTCCAACAAAGTATGAAGTACCAATTGCATGAAAAGCGGCAAGGAAAGAAAATCATTCCATCCAAGTTGCTAAGGATCAAACCTTGGTGAGCAGTCTAAGAATCTCATTGGAAGGTTGTGGTGCACAGTCGCGTAGTAAGGTGTGGCGTGGCAAGGCATTAGGAAAAGTATATTTGTCACTTTTCCATCAAGCACTTCTTTGGATAGATAGTATGTAACATCCTCAGTTCCTCTCTGTCTAACATGTTGAAAAGTATTATTGACAAGGAAAAGAAAGGAAGAGAAGCAGGGAAAGTGATAAATAAAAACTTAAACAAAAGTAAAAATAAAAGCTTAGATGAAAACATTATAGACAGAAGTAAAGTCTAGCATTTGAAGTTGAGTAAACGGAAACGAACAATCAAAAGCTACCCAGGAAAAAAGTAAACTGATGTACCTGATGAACCAAACTCATATACAGGGCCATTGGAATATTGGTAGCGAGCAAGAAAAAGATGGCCACCTGCATTTTAGCAGGGCATGTTCTATGGATATTTGATGATTCTTTCCCTTTACCATTGGCAGAAATCGTTGTTCTTAATGCAGCTAATGAATGTCCAGAGAATATCAAAGCTATAGGAAGCACTGGAAGAACAAACCTACTCAAAGCCAAAATAGAGGAGTAATAGTTGTAAATAGAATGAAAGGTCAAAGAACCATGTTCAATTGTATAATAAACTAATAGAAGAGGTACCTGAATTCTTTGTGGCCTAGCACACTATAAAGTCCTAAAACCCATGCAATAAGGCCAGAAAGCTTCCAATGTTTGGACTGCATGATGCCAGCTACAGAAAATGGTAAGAAGGAGAATATCATGACAGTAAATCCCTGAGTGAAGTACCAGTGCCACTTGTGAGTCCCATAATAATCTCCACCAGCAGAAAGGAAATTGAACTTTAGAAAATTAAGAGGTACTAAGACCCATGAACCGTACATCAAACGATCCAACAAAAATGTAAGCCCGAGCACCAGGAGCCTGAAACAATAGGTCAAAAAGTAAATACAACAATAATAATAGAAATTCCACCATGCAGAGATACACACTCATTGACATGAATGCTTAAGCAGATTATGTAGGGGCGTACACAATTGATTATGATCTTTTTTCACTCTGCAGTGGGGCTACGCTCTTCTTTTAGATGTTGCTTAACTGAAAACATGGCAACTACCAAACAAAAATAAAGCATGACCATTTTGCAAATTTTTTAACATTCAGGTTAAAACTCATGTGGAAATAATATCGAAGCCCAGAATTGAATTTATGTGCAAGATGTTTCAGAGTAGCAAACATCATCAATACTGTTTTTATCACCATTATCATATGCATATCACATTTCATTAATCACCAATAACCTTTCAGCTGCCTCTCCTTCATATGAAGACCTGTTAGTGTGGCACCGAGTTTTCTGCTTTTTTCTTTTTTTCTTTTTGCACGTATCTCTAATTCTAATGTTGCCACTCATGAACTATAACTCCACATTATCATTAAAGCTTAATTTAAAAAATTCACTGTTCAAGTTTAATTTTAAATCACTAGTCCACTACACAGAAATAAAAGGTAAAACAAACAGGTCAAAAACCACCATGATATCACTTACGATATAATTTAGAAGCGCGAACAATTCACGATAGAGTTCCTTATAATTTTAAGCACTTGATGTAAAGAAGGTATTCAGGAGATTGGCTAAATACCTACCCCATAGGAGCAACCTCCAGAAAAATGAATCTCAGTTTATCACGTGTCACAAATAGCTCAAGAAGTCCAACATACAGCCATATGATAGCACTTGTTGGTCGAATAGCACAAGCTAATGCGGCAATAACCAAACCCCACTTCCTTGATTCCAAAGGAAGTTTGCTGGAAGAAGGCCTCATACAGGGCCAGTAGTACAGGCTCACAAGGGTAAGAACAGTCTCCAAACTATTTGATAACGTACGAGTGAGGCAGTAAAACATAAACCAATTTGTCAATTGTGAAAAGAGCTGCAATTGAGTTAAGTACATACTCTACCACAAACAAAAAGATGTTTACCATAGTGCGTCTGTGAGTAATAGTAATTGAAAGTGACTATTCAATGTAAACACAGAGTTGGACATAAATATTATCATTAAATGAGTGAAAACCCCTCATACAAAAGGATACAGCCCACTTTGCAACGCAATGACCAAAGAGGATGACAGAGAGTTTGTACAAGTATAAATCACCAAATGCAGAAAAAAAGGACTGAAACAGCCGTGGAGCCCTGACCTATATAGAACAAGATAACCATAAAAAGTTCAAAAACCACGAGGAGAAATACAATTACTTCATGCAGCAGAAGTTAGATGTCATTTTCGGATGCAATGGAAGTAGAAAGAAATCAAGGGAAACCTTTCTAGAAGAAATACCAATGCAAATGAAAAATCTTTTCAGTCTTTTGAATCACTTGATGACAACATTAGATAATAGCTCACAGAAACTTCTATAAGCAACTACGACAATAATGTAAAGATCAAAATCAAAGTAAGATTAATTTGATGGTTATAACTAAATACCCTAGACTCTACTATACCTATGTTCACCCATGGCACAAAACAACCTTAGCAATACTTACATGCACTGGACGCCAATATACCTCATTTTATTACTGGCAGACTAGGGTCACAAGATAGCTTAATATTGAATAAATACTACAAAAGAATAATTAAGGAGCTTAAGTTTTCATGCTTTAAAGAAGTAAAATTATTTTATAACTTGTAATGAACTAGTTCAGAATTTCTATTCAAGCTCCTAAATGTCCAGAAATGCTGGTTTCAACATTGTTTAAAATCCTTAGGACCCACGAGTAAAATTTTCAAGTAATGCATCTATGCAATGATCATTTATTAACTACTAACAAGTATGAGCTTTATCTCCACTAGTCAGCCAAACATACAGTTAGCAGGAAACATGGGGTATATAAAGCCATTACCATGAACCATGGGGTGTCAAGACCCAACACTGCAAGCAGTTTGTAAAGCAAAGCAAAGAGCAAAGGATGCAAATAGCTACGGATCCCCTTTTCCCACTCCCAAGTCAAATGGCCATACCTGCCATTTAGAAATCCATGAAAGCAAAAACCCAATTCAAAATTAGTTTGATTTACCTTTAAATCAAGATTTTTCTCTACTCTTTGCCTTCTAAAGAGAAATTGTGAAATTAGTGGTTACCCGAAAGTGATGCGGTGTGCTACTTCAAGGGCTTGCCAGTGTTCATCTGGGTTGAAATAGGTTTGAACCAACAGAGCATTCGCTATTCGAAAAGCGAAGCAGAGTGCAAAGACTTTCTTCGAAGAGCCTAGAAAATCAAAGCTTTGCGCTTTCTTTTGTTGTGGGTCTGATTTTGAAGGAATTGGGTTTTGGGTTCTGTCTGTTTCTGCTGCTGATGAAACAGCAACATTCTGCCTTTGCCTCATTGCCGCCCAATTGCAAGATCTTCTTTGGATATGGAAAAGCTCAAATTATTATAAGATCTTCTATGACCACACAGAATTTGAACACAAATAGATGGAGATGGAAATGGTGTTCTGAACTGAATGAAATCTGAAAATGGATGCAAGCAGAAGCAATGGAAGAGGAATCAGAGAGACTTACTGGCGTCTGAGGCAGTGGTTGGTATTGGCGGTACTTACTCAGTGAGTGTTGCTTTGCCAAGGCATGACAGCGATACTGATCCTCTTCGCAAGGTGGCGGTGGCGGTGGCTGTGGCAGTGGCTTGTCTTCTATGTCGGGACGAGAAGTGTGCGTAGACGGGAACGATTAAACTGGAAGGGTTTTAATTTTCTATTGGTCGTTAAATTTATTTGGGTTATTATTAATTAGTATTTAAATCGACAAAGTCATTTTTGGTCATGTAGTTTTACTATTTTTACCACTAATGTCCATACTTTACCATTTTTACCACTAAGGTCCGTACTTTATTATTTTTCAATTTGATCAATTTTGTCCGTGTATTATGAAATCCAAACAATTATTCTAATTTTTGTTTACACTGAGGGGCAGTTTGGTCTATTATTACAACCCTTCCCCACAGCCACCTAGTAGCCCCTTCCTACCCACCACAACTACCTTCTCCTACCCCTCCCCCTAGAGGTGTCAAAAATGGCCATACCGGGCCAGCTCGTCCCATTTAAACTCGTCCTTTTAATATGTTCGTGTCGTGCCTGGCCAACACATTTAATTTATTGGGCCATGCCATGCCGGCCCATTTAATGAAATCATTGATCCCGGCCTGGCCCAAAGCCCATGTCCACATTGAAACGGGCTGGGCTGGACTTGTGCCGTGCCTGCTCGTGCTTGTGCCATACTCGGGCCCAAGAACCAACCCATTTAATTTGAATTTTTTTCACTTGATTTTTTTTTTCCACTAGATAATTCAAATTATAAATATTAAAAATATAATTAGAGGCAAGAAATGATGAACTATATGAAAACATTAATCAATCAAACATCCAAATAATATGAAGGACCCAAGTAATTTCTCTAAAATTAAAGACATCAAATATATGTTTATGATTAAAAAAAAAAACATATAAACAATGACATTAGATGTCAAATTATTGCATTTTGACTTTTTGAGAAGAAAAAAAAAAAGCTAAATGGGCCGTGCTTGAAGCGGGCTCGGGCCAAGCCCGGCCCATGTTGGGCCATGGGCCGACCCGGTCCATTGGACCTATTTTTTTATCCCGGCCCAGCCCAAGTTTTCATTTCGTGCTGAGCATGGCCCATTAATATTCGTGCTCGTGCCGTGCCGTGCCTCATTTAAACGGGTTGGGCTCATGCCGTGCTAGGCCGACCCGTCCCATTTGACACCTCTCCTGACCTAGCCCGCTTCCTTACCCTAAAGCCACGACCCAATCCCCCCCTCTCTCTATATTCTCAAATTCTTCCTATTTTGTCGGGTTTTTGCCTTTAAAGTCAAAGGCAAAAAAGTCGCTAATTATATATTTATAAGGCTTTTTATCACAAATGGTCCTTCAGGTTTACAAAATTATCACGAATCATCCTTTAGGTTTTTTTGTGACACTAATAGTCCTTCAGGTTATCATCTACTCATCAAAATTGTTTGTACCATATCTGACCCTCCACTCGTACAACGACACGTGGATCTCATAAACTCGCCCAAGCACCCAAGGCCTCGGACAATCGGCATAGGCTACTGATGATATTGTCTCAAAGCAGCAAAAGATCATTACAGGGCCCAACACAGCCTACAATCGGTATCCCCTACCGATTCTGCAGAATCAACCTCGAAGCACCCGCCTGAAATATCTAAGGACTCGTGTCAACCTCACAGGGCCCTCCCACGAGTCCCACATCGGAAATGAACACCACAAGCATCCCAAATGCCCTCTATAAATACACCCCTTCACCATCAACAAAGGGGTAAGACTTTTCAGCTTGACTTTTATACTACTATATAGTCAACAGCAAGAGCTCTTAAAAACAATCTTACTCGAGCATCGGAGGGTCTTAGGCTGGTTCCACACCGGTTCCATAGACTTTACGAGCTTCGCTTATCTTCTATTCAGGATCAGCATCCAAGGACAGGAAGAATCGGCATCCAACACCCAATCGATCTCTTGATCGTCCATCCCACTTGTAAGTTGCACTCATCTCTATCTATTCAAGATTTAGCGCCAACAAAATGTATTGAATAAATATAAAAGAAATAGAAAGAAGAGATAATAAGATAACAAAAAAGAGGAAATATATAAAGAAACAAAAGATGAAGAGAGAAGAAGCGTATTGGAGAGAGTGTGTGAGATACCTGGAGAAGAGTGAAAAATATAACTTACGAAAAAAAAATAGCAGAGAAGAACACTAGGGAGAAGAAGATAAAGAGCGTATGATTTTTCACATAGAAAGCGTGTTTTTTTTCCCTAGCCTTTAATGAAGCGTGTATTATCTAAACTAAGGTGTGTGGGTTGTATTAGTTAGTCAGGTAAGGAGGGTATTAAAAGTTCAATTTGTTTAACACAGTCAAGTAATTAAATAATACAAGTTGACACCAAACAATTGGCATGGACTATTTACTCATATCTAAAGTCTAATACAGTGTACCAAACATACCCTAAGACTAAAAAGTCACACAACTTTTAATTCAAGATTAGAGGACTTGAAAGCAGAAGAAAAGCTACACGATTGGTTGCTTGGGTGGTTGTGGAAGTGGTTGGGGAATGCTGTAAGATTGGACCAAAATGCATGTGAGCCCTCGGAAAATTTCAAAAATATTTGTTATGCTTACTATAAAAATTGCACGGCTCAATTTGTGGTCATTTGGATTTTCATGAATTAAATATTGGTATATGTCTGCCGCGCAAATCTCACGGTCTGGAGTTCCGGGCCGAGGGGATGTGCGTTAACACGCGGTTTCCTGCTTTTAGGTGCGGTGCGGTTGTGCGCGGGCGTGCCAGCACGGTCTACCGTGCGTCGATGTGTTGATGAGTGTTAGATGGATAAGTGGTGCGCCTGTTTGATCTGTCTTCCTAGTCAAACGATTGTAGCCGAGAGAGGAACTGGTCTCGGCTGTTAGGTTCACGGCCTGAACTACAAGGCCGTTGAGTGATGGTGTTGGTGGTGGGTTTTGGGCGGTGCTCCGGCGCGCTGCTCAGGGAGCGACGATCGTGTGATATATGGGGTGAGTGAACGAACAACAAGGATGGTGCTCCGGGGCCTTGAAAATCAAGGGTCGTATGATATATTGATGAATGGATTTTCCTTACAATCTACCACTACTCCTAGGAAA